ATCAAGAAAGCAGTGCCGGGAGCAGAGCGCGTCCTTTGGACCGGGGTCCCTGTGCCGAGAAGCTCCTAGTCCGGGGGAACACTGATGAGAAGGCCAAGAGAGAGAAAGCCTTCCCCTGGAGCTGACGCCCTGAATTTGGACTTTTAGCCTACTTTATTGGAAGGAAATAAATTGCTCTTCGTTAAAGACATCCACTTGTGGTATTTCTGTTGTAGCAGCACTAGATGACTAAGACATTTCTGTTGCAAATACTCAACTCTGCCCACTTAGCGTGAAAGCAGCCACAGACAGTACATGAATAAATGTACAGGGCTGTGTCCCCATAAAACTTTATTTACAAAACAAGCAGCGGGCTGGATTTGGCCCTGGAGCGATGGTTTGCCGGCCCCTGACTAGAGCCTCATCTGGGCCATGAACCAGCAGCACTGGCATTACCCGGATGCACGTGAGAAGCACAGACTCTCAAGCCCTGCGTCAGACTGCAGAATCAGAATCTGCATTTTCACAAGATCGCCTGGTGATCCCCAAGTCTGAGAAGCACTGCCGGAGTGGGCCAGGCTGCTGCTCCCAAGAATGGCAAGAAGGCATTTTATAGACTAGAAAAGTGACCTGTTTAAGGTCCGACCAATCGGTGGCCATAGACCAGAGCCCAGCTCCTAGTACGGTGAAACCTGTGAGAACCAGGCCTTGTTTTTCCAGGTCTCACAAGTTTTCCGCCTTTGACGGGGTACGGTCTCACCACCCCTCTCGCACTGTCTCTTAGTGGAAAATTATTTGCCGTTCCCTTCTCTGATGGGTTTCCGTCTTACCAGGTTCCGGCTTTCGCAGGTTTTACTGTATTCCCAACAGGGAATTCATTCCACACATGGCACAACGCTCTCCCTCCCGATTGCTGGTGTGTCTGGTTCTGACCCAACTTGAATTGTCTGGAAAGTCAAATGAAGCCATCACTCATTCTTCCTCAGCCGACTCTCGAACCAGGACTCTCAGACTCCAGCGGCGTCTCCTCTCTTCCACCCACCCCTCCGTGAGCTGTTGGGGGAGGGGCTGTGAGCCTGCCTCAGGGGGTTGCTCAACATCTGCAGGTGGGGAAACGCTCACACAGGTTCAAGCCAGAGTCCATCTCCAGCTTCATTGCTGCCTCGGGAGGTTTGCTATTCTAAGGAACCTTTCATTTTTCACACGGGGAAGAAATTTCTAGACTAGATTCTTTGACAGGACTAGAGACCTTCGATTTTCCCCTCTTCCGTTTGTCTCATCTTGATCCCAAACCAGCCCTTGCCCCCATAGGCGCTCTTAAACCATTTAATGTTGGGCCCCTCCTGAGAGCCAACGCCCAGCAAAAACCCATGAACCCATGCCGGCCACACGCTCGGCACAGCCTGAACGTCGCTGTTCCCTGTGGTCTGTTTCTGATTTGTGCAAGAAGCATTTAATCTTCTTAATCAACCAGCAAACATGGATTGGCTGTTAGTTATTGAGCACCTACTTATGGGCCAAGCCTGTTGCGTATTTCATTATTTCATCCATTTTATGTCTAAGGACATGGAGCTCATTGGGGTTAACTGATTGGCCCAAGATCACACAGAAAATATTCAGTAGAGCCTGGATTCAAACCTGCCTTCAAGTACCTAATATAATTCAGGTGCTGTGAAGGATGCATGCAAGAATAGAATGTGGTCCCAGCCCTCAAGCAGTTCACAATCTGGTTAAGAAGATAAGAAATTTGTGTAGAACAATCAGGTTAATGTTGACATAATAGTCAAGCACTATGAATGGAAGACAGTGAGTATCACAGGAGTGTGGAAGGCAAGGGAAGGAGGGGCTGTCCTTCAGAACTGAATCTCCAGCTGCCCAGCACTGAGCCGTGCACCTCAGAGGCAATCAATAACTATGTGATGTATGCGTGAATATGGTGCCCTGGTGGCGCGGTGGTTAAGGGCTCGGCTGCTAACCGAAAGGTTGGCAGTTCGAATTCACCAGCCACTCCTTGGAAACCCTATGGGGCAGTTCTACTCTGTCCTTTAGGGTCGCTATGAATTAGAATCAACTCGACGGCAGCGGGTTGATGTGTGAATAAGTGAATGGCTGAACAAGATAGAATGCATGCTAAGACTTAGAACAAGAAAGGAACTGAAAAGACTGTGAAAGAGAGAAAAGGAACATGGGCAGGGAGTACTAGCACACAGAAGTAGCAAAAGGGAAAACTGGAAGGCTCGAGGTCCTTGAGTAATATGCCAGGCAGTTGGTGCATGATCCATTGAGTAGGAAAGGACAGAGGTTTTCATGCCGGGAGTGATAGGATCTGAGAGTAGTGGGCAGTTTGGGTTAGAGGAAAGGGAAGGGAACGGGCAGCAGGGAGACCAGTCTGGAGGCTAATGCAGAATGCAGGCTTACAGCTCTAAGGCTTGGAATTGGGAGGCAGCAGGAGCGGGTTAACCAGTAAGCATGGTATGCACCAGCTTGCAAGGTATGCTCTATGTGTTTACTTGCTAACCTGTGGTGAGCCATTCCATATGGGTTTCACCACATCTTTGCTGTGGTGGGGACAGGTAAAATTGTCACTGCAGGTTGATGGGAAGGCACAATTGGGCCCTTGCTTATTGGGTAATCTGGCCCTGATTGCCCAAAGGGAGGAGCAGAGGGGACAGAAGCCAACAGGAAGTGGGGGACAGGCAAGGGGACACTGCCACCTGGGTGATTTCCCTCTCCCCACAAACCGCCCAGCAGGATGCCAGCTCCTTCAGCCACCAGCTCAGCCTGCACACCCACACATCTCCCCACGACCAAGGGCTCCACTTAGTAGTCAGGAAACAGAAGAAAAGCTCAATCGATGCTTTCCCTGGGGACGCGTCTCCTTCTACCTCCAGCATGCTGCCAGTGCCCCTCTCTTCCCATTTGCAGGCCAATTCATCCAACACTTGGTAAGCACCTACTTGAATTTAGCACTAGATGCTAGAAATATCTTACATTCCTCATCTCATTTTAACCCCTGCGGCACCCCTGACAGTCAGTGTATAGATTAGAAAACTGAGACCCAGGGAGATTCGTTGACCTGTCCGAGGTCACACTAATTGGGTCCTAGTATTCCAAACAAGGAATTCTTCCCACGCACCACAATACCCCACTCCACTCCTGCCTCTCCCTTTTCCCCACTAACCACCCACACCTCTCACCTTGCCTTTCTGGGGCAGGTGGGCACCCGTGTGTGTTCCTCTGGGCTGTGGTTAGTTTGATCAGTGCAGATCTTTGCAACATACCTTAGATATGTCATGCCTGAGAGCCGGGTCTCAATTAACCTGGAAAAGCTCATCACCGATTGATTTATTTTATTACGTACTCCATACCTGGAATTGAGGCTTCTTGAGTTCAGTCAGTGGGTAAAGGAGTGCCAGAAAATACAGCAAGTAGGATTTTACCTTCAAGCCTTCTAGAACTCAGCATTCCATTAATACGATCATGTTACTGAGAAGCCTTCTCTGAGAGGAATTGAGAAGAGGCTCACCTCTCGCCACGCTCACCTCCCTGCCTTCAGGTACCTTATCACCCCAGGACATTCTGTCTGTACCTTGACTCCTGTGAAAAACCCACTGCCATCGAGTCCATTCCGACTCGTAGCAACACTATCGGACAGAGAAGAACTGCCCCATAGCATTTCCAAAGCTGTAAATCTTTATGGAAGCAGAGGGCCACATCTTTCTCCCGCGGAGCAGCTAGTGGGTTCTAACTGCCAACCTCTCAGTTAGCAGCCAAGCACTTTAACCAATGCACCACCAGAGCTCCTTTTTGACTCCTCTAATCTGAGCCGGGAGCCCTGCTGGCACAGTTGTTAAGAGCTACGGCTGCTAACCAAAGGGTCGGCGGTTTGAATCCACCAGCCGCTCCTTGGAAATCCTATGGGGCAGTTCCACTCTGTTCCATAGGGTTGCCATGAGTCAAAATCGTATAGGCTTTGATTTGAATCCCAGCTTCACCACGTGCCAGCTGTGTGGTGTCAGGCAAGTATGTTAACCTCTCTGAGCCACAAGTTCCTTCTGTGTGGGGATAATCGTTCCTACCTCCCAGTGCTGCCACAGGATTGAGAGCGGTAACCTTCGGAAAGCTCTCGGCCTGGCAGAGGATCTGTGCTCAGCGATGACTGTTCCCTTCAGGCCCCCGTGGGGACCACCTGTAGAGGATTCCCGGTAGCTCCACTGCCCACCAGGCCTCACCGCCATTCTCACCCTGGTTTTCCTTAGCAGCGTGATGACTCAGACCCTCATTTCAGAGCCATTTCCAGATCTTTCTTCCTGAGGAGTTCCCCACCGCACAACTCTGCGGGCACACTGCCACCCCTCCTTCTGAATCATCTGGTCCTTCTGCACAGAGAGGCTTGCGAGCCCCTCCCCCGATGAAGAGCCTTCCTCACAGCCCCCTTCCCCCATGCACAGAGCCTTCCTCACAGCCCCCCTCCCCCATGCACAGAGCCTTCCTCACAGCCCCCCTCCCCCATGCACAGGGCCTTCCTCACAGCCCCTCTCCCCCATGCACAGGGCCTTCCTCACAGCCCCAGCTAAACCCTGAAGATAAAGCCACAGGGCACGGCCGTGCCCTCCCTGCCCCGCCCAGCCACACAGGTAGGCTTTCAGGAACCAACACCAGTGGCCCTTGTGAGCCCTGTGCTGGCTCTTTCTCAGACCTCCGGGTGGAGTCTCGCTGAATGTTCTGTCTTCTGGACAGAAAGGCAAGGACTGCTGCCAATCTGCTCTTGACCCAGACAATCAGGAAATCCAGCCTCCATCTTGGTTGGAATAGCTCAAACAGACCTTAAGGATAGGCTGCCCGTCCCCCTCCATCAGGGGAAACTGAGGCCCTGAGGAGGGAACTGACTTCCCCAAAGGCACACAGCCAGAGCAGGGACCAAAATCCCAGCCGCTGCCTGCTGGGGCACCCATCCCCTCTCCCTCACACCCTCCGCAGAAAGCAGCGGCTGCTTCTCTTCTTTCTACCCCCTCCCAACTGGATTACCCAGAGTCCACAGCCACTCGATGCCTCCCTGTGACTTGTATGCCCTGATGGGCTTTACAGAGCCCTGGGAGGAGAAGAGACCTGCCATCAGGTGTGACACACACTGCTGGGCACGGCACAAAGAGAACTGCCCTCAGTGCGGTGCCCAGCTGGACTAACCCATTGCCATCAAGACGATTCCTACTCATGGCGACCCTAGAGGACAGAGTAGAACTGCCCCACAGGGTTTCCAAAGAGCTAATGGTGGATTCACACTGCTGACCTTTCGGTTAGCAGCCGAATGCTTAACCACTGTACTGCCCAGCTGGACTAGGGGGACCAAGGCCACGCCTTAAAGATCCTCAGATCCTGCTCTGCCCCTGCCTGGCTCGGTCCAGGAACCTGGATTGCCGTGGGACGGTATCACACATACATGCACACACACTTGGGTGCATACACGCACATACATGTGACTGCAGGAAAAGGAAAGGAAACTCATTTTCAAATAAAAGGTGCCTCCCCATTTTAGAGTAAATGAACGAGAAAAGGGGCTGCTTCACTTGCCAGGTCGTGATATCTCTGCGCTTCACGCTGCTGCTTTCTCCTTCACCTCTCTTCTACCCCTCCCTTCTTCTCCTCCTTTTCCTACCCGCCCCCACCCCGTCCTCTCCTCCTCCTCCTCCGTTACCCTCAGCATTACATTAATTACCACCTGCAGAAGGCTGTCACTGACCGTGTAGCAAAGGCAGAACTTCCTGAGGACGTTCCTTTCTAAGGAAATGTACAGTCTCAACAACAGCCACTGTCCCTTGAGGGCCTTCTGCAGGTGGCTCTGTGCAGGGTGCTTGATGGCATCTCTTCTAAGCCTCCCAACAACGCTGTGAGCCAGTTATTATATCTGCATTTTCCCAATAAAGGACAGACTCAGAGAAGTTAGGGGACTTCTCCCAGGGTCATAAAATTAGTGAGTGACTGAGCAGCAGGATTCAAACTCCAGTCTGGCCAATGCCCACACTCTGCTTGACAACGTGTCTCAGGGGTGCGTGCTTCTTGAGGAGTTTACAGAATGCCAGGGAATGAGCCTTCCTTCCTGTCTGGTTTGTGGGGAAGAGACCCTCTGCCTCGCTCCTTGTGACTGGGTCGGCTCTCTAGGGAAAGGAGCTGTTGTTACCTGCCGTAGAGTCTGCCCCAGACTCAAGACATCCCCAGGCACAACAGAATGAAGCGCAGCTCGGTCCTGTGCCATCACTATGATGGGTTATGGATTGGACCGTTGTGATCTATAGGGTTTTCACTGGCTGATTTGCAGAAGTAGATTGCCAGCCCTTTCTTCCTAGTCCATCTCAGTGTGAAAGCTCCACTGGAACCTGTTCAGCATGATAGCACCATGCAAGCCTCCACTGACAGATGGGTGGTGGCTGTGCTGGAGGTGCATTGGGTGGGAATTGAAGCTGGCTCTCCCACATGGAAGGCAAGAATTCTACTACTGACCCACCATGCCCCCATTAGGGAAAGCATTAGTCGTAGATTATCCTTTAGGGTAGTTACGGTCGAGATACCCGAGGGCCTGGGGCTTTTAGGGGCCAGGTGGGTGTGGGGGTGGAGATTCTGTTTGACCAGTTAGGAGCCTTCCTTCCTTACTCACCCTTTTGTGCCCAAGGAAGCCCCAAAGCCCCTTCCCCTGCAGAAGAGCAGGAAACATTCTTTTGGGGTACTCTCCATTTCCCCATCCCTAGGCTACCTTCAGGCTGCCATACTTCTAACCTGGGCTTTGAGGCAGGCTGAGTCTGCAGAGCAGCCTGCCAGCCACTAGTCACCTGTCTAGACCTTGGGGACTGAACCTGGCCCAGCAGCAGAGCAGAGCTGGGCTCATGTCATTTCTTTCTGAGAAGAGTAAGAAGGTTCCCCACACCCCTGATACACATCAGCTTCTTGGCGACAGTGATCAAGCCCATTCCTAACTGCCGATTAGGAATTACAGCGCACCTTGACACTCTTTACTTCTTTCGTCCTCAGAATTACCCAGCAAAATAGGTTTTATTATTGCCCCCATTCTACAGATGTGAAAACCGACTCAGAGAGGGTAAATGATTTGCCCTACGTGACACTATTAAGCTGTTAGCCCCAAACTCAAGAACTGGGTGCAGTATTTTCCAGCTTTTTCCTTTGCCTCTCTGACTCCGCATTTGTCCGTCACAGGCCGTTCATGAAGCCGTAGTGAATTGCTTTCTGCATTTCTAACTGATCAGACATATACCCCTGCTGATAGGAGCTTCAGATCAGCATCTGCTAACTAGCGTTACCCACTGAACCAATGGGATTCCAGCCCACCACAGTGACACCTGGCTTCGCAGTTAGTCTGTGCTGCTGTGGCCCAGGTAAAGGGACAGAGTTCACAGTCTTTATCATTTTACACAGATGCTCTAGAGTATGGGGCAAGCTTCCTTGCAGCCGTGATGGGGTGGTTCAGAAACTCTGTTGGGCTCCGTCACATAGAGTTTCAGCACCTGCATTTATGCTTGCTTGATTTCCTGGGCTGGTCCCTTCCAGCCCTCGTTCTGAACCTGGAGGTGGGAGCGAGCCTGGGTGGCAAGGGAGACCTGTTAGGCTAACGATCTCTCCACGCCTCTCCAGGGCACTGCACGGGAGGAGCCCAAACCATGCCGCCCGTGTAGCCAGAGTTTCCCTTGCATCTTAATGACTGAATTTTCATTCATGTGAACCAGCAGCCAGGATGAGTGTGGAAATAAAAATTATGCGTTAAGGGGAGAGGCGAAAACCAGGCTGGGCCATCATCAGCTGTTATATGTAGATTTGATGAGTTAATTAGTGGAAAGCCGGGTACAGTTCAACCTGAACAAGTACTTATCATTATCATTATTATTTTTTTCCTCTTTCAAACCTGTCAAGGTCTTTGGCACTAATGCATCTATCTGCTTTATTCAGTTTATTCAACAAGCACTTATTGGGAGCCTTCTACAGGCCAAGGGCTGGACTATTTGCTAGAGATGCAAAGAGAAACAAAACAAGAACAAGTCCCTGCCTTCTACTCGCAGTGGAGTTGGGAGAGTGATGTGTACAGAAATCACTGTGGCTGGGTGAGATACGTTAGCAGAGCACCAGAGAAGGACCAAGCCCGGTGCCTGAGGTGCTCTAGGAGGGGAGGGCGAGTTCTCCAGGCAGAAGACTTGGGCAGTGCAGGCCAGGTAGGGAAAGACTTTGCAAGCCTGCTAAGGAACTTGGACATTGTCAGTTGGGCTTCCAGAGCCACCAAAGGGTCGGAAGACAGGCAGTGGGCAGGTCCGAGGTGTCCCTTAGATACGAGTGCTCTGACGGCCTGTTCTGTGAGTCTTGAACTCTGACCCCTCCTCCCAACAGTAGCCAGGACTAAGGAAATAAAGGCAAAATGGGGCTGTTGAGAAAAAAGGAGTAGGAAAAGGAGCAGAGTCAGAGAAGAGATTAAAGGAGGAAGAAAGCTGACTGACAGGGATGTCCTCCTAATCTAAAGCTCACCTGTGTGTCCAGCCTCCGCATGGAGGTGTAAACCTGTGAGAACACTGAAGATTTAAAAAAATGTTTTACACCAAATAGTGCATGTTGGGGTCTCTCGTACGCAATTCTGGAGCCCTGGGGGTGCAGTGGTTAAGAGCTCAGCTGCTGACCAAAAGGTCCGCTCCTTGGAAACCCTATGGTGCAGTTCTTCTCTGTCCTGTAGGGTCGCTGTAAGACAGAATCGACTTGATAGCAACAGATGCACAATTCTAAGAGGATAGACAGATTGGAGTTGTCAGGGTGAACGTGGCAGAAAAGGAAATTGAAACTAACATTTGGAGTGTCTAGCTTGTCTGCTCACCAAAAGATTGGCAGTTCAAATCCATCAGCCATTCCTTGGAAATCCTGTGGGGCAGTTCTACTTTGAGCTATAGGATCCCTATGAGTTGGAATTGACTCAATAGCAACAAGTTTGGTTTTGGGTTTTACTGGGTACCCGGAGCCCTGGTGACACAATGGCTAAGAGCTACAGCTACTTGCCAAAACAGGTCGGCAGTTCGAATCCACCACCCGCTCCTTGGGAACCCTATGGGGTAGTTCTCCTCTGTCCCATAGGGTCACCATGAGTCGGAATCAACTCAACAGCAACGAGTTTGGTTTTAGTTTACTGAGTACCAGGCAGTTTCACGTACAACTCTGCCATTTAAACCTCACAACCACACTTTGAGGTCAGTATTATTATTTCTAATGTTCAACTAAAGAAGCTCTAGATCAAAGCAATCAGGGAAGTAGCTAGTTGATGTTCTTCACTCCAACTCCTGCATACATTTCGGGAAGTTTTAATGCCTACGGCTCAAGTTCTCTAACTTGAGCACACCTGAGAATCTTCCAGAGTGCTTGTTAAAACACAGATTGCTGGGCTCACACCCAGAGTTTCTGATTTAGTAGGTCTGGGTGGGGCCTAAGAAATTGCATTTCTAACAAGTTCCCAGGTGGTGCTGACACAGCTGGTACAAGACCACACTTGGAGAACCACTGGCCTATAGGGATGATCCACCCAATAACCTAGACCAAAAACCCAGTGCCGTCTGTCGATTCTGACTCATAGCGACCCTATAGGACAGTGTAGAATTGCCCCATAGGGTTTCCAAGGCTGTAAATCTTTACGGAAGCAGACTGCCATGTCTTTCTCCCAAGGATCGGCTGGTGGGTTTGAACCAC